CACCCTCACAAGATGGCTGCCTATGACCAGGCGGCAGGGGGGTTAGTGAGGAATGACCAAATGACTGAACAGCAGTCTGAGTGGTGTGACCAGGCCAGTGGGGGGGGCAGTTGGGGGCAACCAGACCAGCAGAGGTGGCAGTTGGAGGTGTCTAGGCTGGCAGGGGGGCAGTTAGGGCCAGCAGGCCAGCAAGAAGGGCAGTTAGGGTCAATCAGGCCGGCACGCAGAGGCAGTGAGGGGCGATTAGGCCAGTGGGGAGGGCAGTTAGGGGTGACCAGGCAGGCAGGCAGGTGAACGATTAGGAGCCAGCGGTCCTGGATTGTGAGAGGGATGTCCGACTGCCGGTTTAGGCCCAACCGGCAGTCAGACATCCTCTGAGGGGTCCCGGATGGGAAAGGGTGCAGGCTGGGCTGAGGGGACTCCCCCCATGCACGAATTTTGTGCACTGGGCATCTAGTTTATTAATAAAGAAACTGAGGACAGAGAAGCTACAACACTTGCCAAAGGTCATGTGGCAAATTATTCTGGAGCCAGATTGGAATCTAGAGAACTCAGGCCCAGAATCTACTCTCCTATGCCCTACCTGCCTCAGCAAAACACCTCAAGATGCAATTCTAAAGCTGCTTCCTGCACCCACACCTCCTCTACTCACCCCAGTGAGAGGTGCTTTCCCTTCTGTTACCTGAAACTGCACACTCACAGCACTTCAGATCCTGCCTGGCAGGAAGGCGGCATGAGCACGGGGTTCCTCTTCCATAACAACTGCCTGTTTCCTTGGTTACAGGGACAGGGGATTAAGTATATTTGCTCCAAATGCAGTGCTTTGGTCATAGGAGCATACATTTTTCTTTTCTCTATCATTAGTTTCTGTTTTAGTTGAAAAATAGCACATGAACATAGTAAGCATATATGCAGCACAAGAGTAAACACTGAAATATGCCTGTGTTCCTACAATCTTCTTGCAGCGGCATTGACTAGAACTTTTCCTATTTATCTATAGATATATGTGTATACTCTTTGTTTCACAGAAATAACAATATTCCAAGTATCTCTTCATGTTTTTTCAATTTATGTAGTGTAAACCTAGTTCCATGAATTTGTATTCCACAAATACATATAGATCTAGCATCTAGCTCATTCTTTATTTTTTAATTTAAATATTTTATTGCAAATGTCTCCCATTTTCCCTGCCTTTGCCCACTTCCACCCAGCTCCCTTGGGTTATGCATATATGTCCTTTAGCTAATCCTTTCACCCTCTTTTATACTACCCTGGCCCCCCCTTAATCCCCCCCCCCCGCCCCTTTGACATTGGTCAGTCTGTTCCTTTGTACCCATGCCTCTGGTTCTATTTTGTTTGTCAGTTTATTTTGTTCATTAGATTCCACATAGTAGTGAGTGTTAAGTCGCTGAAGGAGGAACACCAGAGTGGCGAGGGATTACGAATTTATTCGATCATCCGCACCCAGTGACGGAGTCAGCGGCTTTTAAAGGACTTTTGGCGGGCTTTTTTCTGGGCGGAGACTTCTTTGTGCATACCGGAGGGGAGATAATGGATGTGGTCACCACAAATGAAATGTGGTCTCCGAAAAGGGAATGTCCTTAGTGAAATAGTCTGAGAAGCCAGTTCCTGGGGGAGGGGTATCAATTCAATTGCTTGATCAAACCCAACAGTGAGATTTTATGGTATTTGTCTTTCTCTGACTGGCTTATTTCACTTAGCATAGTAATGTCCAGATCCATCCATGCTATAGTAAAGGGTAGGAATTTCCAGCTCATTCTTTTTAATGACATTATAAAAATTTCAAGGATCATAATTTGTCTTATCAGTTCCCTATGGTTGAGTGGGCATTTAGATTATTTCCAACCTTTTGCTTTTACTATGATGAAATGAATATTCTTGTACATTAGTCTTTAAGGATAGGTAGGAATATATATAAGATAAAATTATAGCACTGGAATTGCTACTTCAAAATGTATGTGCATCATAAATTTTGATAGACAATGCCAAGTTGAACCATAGTTTTTTAGAAAAGACAACTGTGATGTGCATTAATTGTGCATTTAATTTCTCAGCTGTTAAATGGGTAAAATAGCACCTATTTCACAAAGCCATGCCATGAATTAAATGAGATAATGGGTGTGAACATGTTTTGTCAGCTGCTAAGAACTAAGGTATCATCAATCATATTATTTATATTTTTAAATATATCTTATTGATTTTTTAGAGAGAGGAAGGGAGAGGGATAGAGAGTTAGAAACATCGATGAGAGAGAAACATCGATTCAGCTGCCTCCTGCACACTCCCTATTGGGGATGTGCCCGAAACCAAGGTACATGCCCTTGACCGGAATCGAACCTGGGACCCTTCAGTCCACAAGTCGACGCTCTATCCACTGAGCCAAACCGGTTAGGGCAATCATATTATTATGTAAGGATATTATTTTGAGTGGGTATTTGTGTTTTATTGCCAGTGCGGTTTTGAATGGGAGGAGGCAAGCACAGTGAATCTATAACACTAACTAAAAATACTATTTTTTTTCCTAAGTACAAAAGTAACACAGAGCCTCACAATGTAAAATAAACAACCCAGCAGGAAATGGGGTGCAGGGTGAAAATTCTCCTTTACCACTTGCCATAAATCCTACTCCTCTGTTAGTATAGTAGCATCATCGATTTTTAAAATTAGATAATATTTTATAAATTATATAGTTGAAATTCAATAAACAGTTATTGAATTCTGAATTACTTTTGAAGAGAGCAAATTAAACATGTGTAGACAAACATAAGTACTAATACGTGTGGGGGGGGAAATTGATTTTATATTTATTCCAAAATAAGATGAGCTTGGATTAAATTTTAAAAAACTGGAAGTGGGAGCGAAAGTTGAAGACCACGGGTGACCCGGCGGCCACACCCTGGCTGCGAAGCAGCATTAGAGTGGTTAAAATTAGGGCATTGAACTTACATGCATAGCTCATGGGCACAGACAATGGTGTGGTGAAGGCCTGGGGGTTGGGGAAGGGGCTGAGCAGAGGGAAGCAAAAGTGGGGAAAATGGGGGACAGCTATAATACTGTCAACAATTTTTAAAAGATTAAAAAAAAAAAGAAGAAGCAACAAAACTCTAAAAAAAAAAAAAAATTAGGGCATTTGAAACCAGACTGGAACCCATGGTATGCCTCTTCTTGTGTGACTTTGGCAAATTTACTTAACTTCTATGGACCTCACCTTCTTCACTTTTAAAAATGGGGGAAGTAATAGTGGCCACTTCATAGGATTGTAATGAGAAAAACAAATACATATGAAACACTCAGAGCAGGGTTGGTACAATGTAAGTGCTTGGTAACTGTTAGCCACTAGGTTACGTGTTGTTAGAATGATACTGGTAAAGGAGAAAAGATTATCTAATGAGCTGATTGATAACATATTCGCTGACTAGAGAACTGAAATGCAAAACTTCAATTAGGAATAGACATAAAACCATGATTATCTGTGGTGTTCATCTGACACAGCTGGAGAATCTTTGCCTTTGTTTTCCGGAAACACAATTGTTCTTGGCCCCACTGTAGAGGATGCACATGGCTCAGTGCGGATGAGACTGATTTTGGCAACTGAATGGAACACTGGAATGTTCAGTTTTAAGGCTGACTTATGAAAACACAGTGGTAATAAAGCCATTGATTTAAACATCCTAATACAACAATACAAGAAAATGATTGTTTAGATTGTTGGACATGAGTTTTGACTCTTGAATAAATTGCTTTGTTCCATTCATGAGAATAGCAGAGATTTTAACCAATATTATATAGTGGTTTATATTTTTGAAGAACTTTAAGTCTGCATAATTTTATATACAGTTGAGTAAAACTTACACATAGCTATATTTGATCCACATATGGATAGGTGCCATACTATTAATGGTTCCTTGAATTTATATTTTAATGATAATGATAATAATTCTGTGCACTTGTATAGTGCTAAAAATTCTTTTACAAATTTTCAGTTTTTGAGGACTGGTTTTATTTATTTGTTTACTCATCATGTGCCCTAATTAATTTTCACTGTCGAAAAAAAAAAGGAAGAAATTGGAACATCAAACTTATTTAATATCAGGTTAAAGAAAAAGTATTTTTCTATTATGGAGAAAATGCATAGTCAGAAGGGCATATAAATATAATCCTTGCCAAAAATGTTAATTTTATAATAACATTAGCTATAAAAAAATCATGTGAGTCTGATACCATTAAAATTGATTGATTTCTTTAGGACACAAACTACATGAATTCCTTGTGGTGGGGCAGGGAGGAGGGGGAAGAATACACTATTTTTAACTTGATTTTTAAAATGTTGTTTCTGCATTATTTTTACATTATTGTAAAACCTCTCAGGAAGAGATAAATTACTTCTCTTCCAGCAAACACAAAACAAAATGAAACCTTGCAATTTGATTCTTTAATTGCACAAACTGTAGCATTCCAGACGGTGGTGCTGTTTTCATCAAGGAAAACATTCTCATTCTATAAGTCTGTTTTATTTTGTAAGAGGTAAATTATTATAATTGCTTTTTTTTCAAATTAAGCTGTTAAAACAACACAATTTGGATACAAATTCTATTAACGTTTAAAAACTACCATTTGCCAATTTGGGATTATTTTAATCTATAATGATTAATCAGCAATGTACTTTGCAAAAAGATAGTGGTATGTGTAGTAGGTAGTAATGTAAAAATGTGTATCACCATTCTTTGCAGTATTTGAAAAGCCAAATGTCCAGAGAATGCCCTTATCTTTGCAAAACACAATGCTGCATTTGTGAAGATATAAAAAACCTGTGGAAAAAGTGCAAAGTTCAAGACAAAACCATTACTAAGGTGATTAAAATGGCAACGCTATTCAAATTTGAACAAGGAAGCAGGCTGTTAAAGCTACACAATATAGAACTGCCAACAGCATTGCTTTTACTTTAGATAATGTTTTGTTATTGTTTGTTGTATTTTCAGTTTGGTCGGTCACCTTGGTGTGAAAGTCATAAGGAGATAAAAGTAAGTTTTTATTTTTAAAAGTCACTTCCCAAGAGATAAAGATTTTTTTTCTATAAAATTTCCTATATGAAATAATGCCTGAATATCAGTATATGGCACTCAGAATACCTGTGGATGCTTAAGGGAAAATATACCACCGCATATTTACTTAAATTAGATAAAGGTCAAGTGATTTTTGTGAAAGGTCTGCAGCAATTCTGTGAATCTGGGCAAGGAATTATCTCTGGCATGGAAATTGTTCCCCTGGCAGAACCCATATTAACATGATTATGGCTCAGCGGTTGAGCGTTGACCTGTGAACCAGGAGGTCACGGTTTGATTCCTGGTCAGGAATCATGCCCAGGTTGGGGGCTTGGCCCCCAGTGTGGGGCGTGCAGGAGGCAGCCGATCAGGGATTCTCTCTCATCATTGATGTTTCTATCTCTCTCTCTCTCTGCCTTCTTCTCTGAAATCACTAAAAGTATATATTTTTTAAAAATGATTGAACGGATCTCTCACTTTGTGAAAATCAGTCTCTCCTGGTCAGGAAATTAGATACCCGATGCTCCTTCCCTCAGTGAAAATGTTCTAAAAGTTTCATGTGTGTGTTTATAAACTATTTTCTGTTTGCAGAGGAGTAGGCAGCACAATGGACTCAGAAAGGAATTCAAGAAGTTGGATTCTAGAATCTCCTCAACTACTAACTTTGACCTCAGGCAAAATGCCTCACTTGTCTAAGCTGTTCTTTATAAATAAATGAAAGGATTGGGCTAGTAGAATATAGATGACCTCTAAGGCCACTTCTAAATCTATAACTATGATTCCAAATTAGCAGCAGAGTTAAGTGGAAGCTACACTGACACTCCAAAATATATAAGGAACTCATGCAACTTAGCAGAAGGAAGACAAATAATCCAATTAAAAAACGGGCAGAAGACCTAAATAGACATTTCTCCAAAGAGGATACACAGGCAGCCAAGAGACATCTGAAAAAATGCTCAAAGTCACTGATCATCAGAGAGATGCAAATTAAAACCACAATGAGATATCACCTCACACCTGTCAGAATGGCTACCATCAACGAATCAATAAATGACAAGTGCTGGTAAGGATGTGGGAAAAAGGGAACCCTAGTGCATTGCTGTTGGGAATGCAGAGTGGTGCAGCCTTTATGGAAAACAGTATGAAGTTTCCTCAAAAAATTAAATATGGAACTGCCATTTGACCCAGTGATCCCACTTCTAGGAATATATCCTAAGAAACCCGAAACACCAATCAGAAAGAATGTATGTACCTCTATGTTTATAGCAGTGCAATTTATAATAGCTAAGATCTGGAAACAGCCCAAGTGCCTATCAGTAGATGAGTGGATACAAAAGCTGTGGTACATTTATACCATGGAATACGATACAGCAGTAAAAAAGAAGGATCTCTTACCTTTTTAGAAAGCATGGAGGGACCTGGAGAGTATTGTGCTAAGTGAAATAAGCCAGTCAGAGAAAGGCAAGTATCACATGATATCACTCATATGTGGAATCTAACTGGAAGCATGGAAGAGAGTGGGGAATCTTGTGAGGGTGAGAGGGTGGGAGGTAATCAACCAAAGAACTTGTGTGCATATATGCATGGCCCATGGACACAGACAATAGGGTGGTGAAGGCCTGAGGGGGAGGGGCGGATGCCAGCTAGAAGAGGGCAATGAGGAGAAAAAAGGGGATATATGTAATACTTACAACAATAAAGATTTTTTAAAAATAAATCTATAACTATGATTCTAAATCAAAGATTCCAATATATATAACTATGTAAATTAATATGAATATATATAATTATATATTAGATACATATTTAAACAAAAAGCAAAAACCTGTTATTTCACATAATACTAGTAGGCAAGCAGATAGGGTGATTACAGGGTTGCTTAATTTATCAGTCAAGGCTAAGTTATCCATTATCAAGGATGTAGTTCTTTTCTGTCTGTCTGTTCTGTTGTCTTCGCTGTCTTTAGTTTTGTCCTTCGGTTTTTTGCCACATGGTTGCAAGATGACTGCTGTAGTTCCAGGTGTTACATGTAGACATGACCTCATCAAATAGAGGAAGAGGAACCATTTCATTCTGTGGGTCTCTTGTTATTGGAAAGGAAAATCTTTCCTTGAAGCACCCCCACCTGAACCCCAGCAGACCTGCTTTTATGTACCATGCATTATTAGCCAAAATTATATATCACATGCTTATGCCTAAGCCATGACTGGCTTAGACCAATAAAAATTTACCTCTTGGAAGTAGAAAGGACCCAGATATCCATATTTCAATGAAATTGAGGTTCTATTCGCAAGAAAGAATAAGAGGAAGGAATGACAGTTGGATAGGCAACCAACAGGCCAGCTATACAGCTAAATAGTGATTATGTGATGTCACCATGCCCATAGGTTAGGATCAGAAATATATTGTATGGGTACTAACATCCTGTACCCATAATAGATGTTATTAATCAATGATGGTGTGACTATTTTATGAGTCACTTATTCAAATTCAGATGTTAAATGGGGGGAGAGGAGGGGCAAGAATAATACAAATAACTCACTACCATTACCATTTGGACTTAAGTTGCTAACATGGTGCCCCATTTCTCACAAATACTTTAGAGTGTAATTCCTACAATCAGAAATTAATGCTGATACATTACTACCACCTCATTCTCAGAAACTATTCAAATTTACCCAATGTCCCAATAATGTTCTTTACAGCTATAGGATCCAATTCAAGATTATGTGTTGTTATTTTTTACTGCAGCATAGTATCCCATGGTGTAGATGTACCAGTTTTTTAATCCACTCATCTGCTGACGGGATTCTTACCACTTGCAACAGCATGGATGGAACTGGAGAGCATTATGCTAAGTGAAATAAGCCACTCAGAGAAAGATAAATATGACATGATCTCACTCATTTGTAGAATATAATGAACAAAACAGATCCAGAGACAGAGAAGCACCAACCAGACCGTCAAACCTCAGAGGGAAGGTAGGGATGGGCAGGGGTAAGGGGGAGAAATCAACCAAACCACTTGTGTGCATGCATATAAGCCTAACCAATGGACACAGACACCAGGGGGGTGAGGGCATGAGCGGGGGAAGGGAAAATGGGGGGATAAGGACACATATGTAAGACCTTAATCAATAAAGAAAAAAATAAGATTACATGCTGTATTTAGTTGTGTCCTTCAATCTGGAACAGTATTCCTCCGTCTTCCCTTGACTCTTATGACCTTGACACCTTTAAAGACTATAGGCCAGCTCTTTTGTAGGATACTTCTCAATTTGAGTTGGTCTGATGTTTCCATATAATTAGAATCTGGTAATGCATTTTTTTTCTTTGCAGAATTATCACAGAAATGATGCTGTAATATATGTACATATATTTATAGAAAGCCTTGATTATATACAATCCTTAAAGTTTTAATATAGTTTTATACTCAAAGGTTTTTTTTAAGCAGTTGCTCATGTACTCATATTAGTAGTATAGATTCCATCTCTTGTTGGCCAGAGTTTCTGAGCTGCTTAAGAGACAAAACTGGTTAGCAAGAGAAGTAAAAAGTATATAGAGTTTCTTCTTTGAGCAGATTGTGACACATACCTTGTTCAAAAGGGAAGGACCTAATTGAAGTGGTAAGAAGTTAAAAGTATGTTGAGAAGTAATATATTTATATGCAGATTTTTTCCAGGGAATAGTACTTTGTGTACAGTAGATTCTCAGTAAATATTTGTTGAATAGCATTGAATTTTAGGGTAGAGCACAATGAAAAACACCTGGTGCGCATCAAATCAAGAGAAACAGGAGTAGAAAATTGTTGTGGCAGAAGGCCAAGGACTTACTAGCCAGATGGAAAGAATAGATGATGTTTTCCTACTATAAATTACAAAACCAAAATTAAAGCATGATATTATAGAAATTAAGAGACTAGGGTGCATTTTTTACTTTCTTTGCTGATCAGGGTTTTTTGTTGTTGTTGTTGATTTTTATTGGAGGCCCCAAAGGCCATCCTGGCCTGAATTCTGACCAGCCAAAAGGAACCTGTCCGTTACGGTGATATATCGTGGACCTTGTGAGAAAGGGGTTATGTCATTTCAACGTTTTAATTCCCAAATAAGGACTTGCTGGGCATGGCTAAAGTGCATATGAGGCTTGAAAAAAGCAGATGTGAGAAGTTCAGAGAAAACAACTCATCATCTGAGACATGTCAGAAATAAGATAGAACTCTGACAAGGTGAAATGCTCCCCAGGAGTGTTTGACCTTGAGTTTCATAGACGGGTGTCAAACTAGTTGTTTATAGGGACATAAGACCAAATGACTGGGGTGAGTTACTACAGGGAGCATATGTGGAGATATAAATAGAATCCAGCAGAACAAGAGCCGACAGAGGAGCAGGCCCCTGGCTAGCAGCAGAGTTCTATAGGGAGAGAAGGAAATAAATGTCACAATCACCCTTCAGACTCCAGGTAAAAGTTCTACTTGGGAATGCAGCATGATTTATGCATAGAGTGAGATGTGTAGACAGAAGGAAAACTATTTTTTTTTAAAAAATGAGGAATATATTACAGAAGAAATTTTTATCTGTTAGAAAACTGACTGGGGGAAATAGCAGGCAAGGGGGGAGAGAAGGAATAGAGAAAAGAAACCAGCATTTGAGCCTGGCTGGTGTGGCTTAGTGGTTGAGCATCGACCTAGGAACCAGCAGGTCACAGTTGGATTCCTGGTTGCGGGCTTGGTCCCTGGTGGGGGACGTGCAGGAGGCAGCTGACTGATGATTCTCTCTCATCATTGATGTTTCCATCTTTCTCTCCCTCTCCCTTCCTCTTTGAAATCAATAAAATAATAAGTAAACAATAAAAAGATTTTTTTTTTAAAGAAACCAGCATTTGAATGAAATGATGGTAGCTTTTTCTTACAATGCACCTGAGGGGATCCAATTTTTGAATTACAGGAAAATTAAGCTAAGGACCCATTTAACATTACCCCCTCTCCCCCCTTAGAGAGAACAAATTGACAGGGGCATGTTATATACTAATTTAAATAGGTTAGGTATTGAAAAGGGGGAAATAGCAGGCAAGGGGGAAATGTGTAGACAGAAGGAAAACTAATTTTCTTTGATGAGGAATACATTACAGGAGAAATTTTTATCAGTTAGAAAACCAACTGGTCTTCATTCAGCAAACAATCAGTAAAACTTAGGCTATGGAGTTATGGGACTGAGCTTGTTTCCCCAAGCCTAAGGTACTCTGACTTTCGTAGTGAGTCACTGTGTTAAACATCATAACCACAAGGTTTGCCATGAGTCAGTCACTACCTCACTTTTCTTTCACAGCTTCCTAATCTTTCTGACCAGAGCTGGAAAAAAGCGAATGGGCCACAGCTGACCAGCAACACATCACACCACCCAAACCCCACTGGCCCTTTCCCCAAATCTCAAGCTGTTTGTCTGGCAGCGCTTAGAATATAAAGTCTAATACTTTAAGCAATAAAAAAAATAAAAATAAAATAAAATAAAAAGAAAGAAAGAAAAAAAAAGAATATAAAGTCTAGTGGATCATAGCTCTAAATGTAAAAGCCAAAACTACAAAACCCTTAGAGGAAAACAGGAGTAAAT